AATAAATAAATAAATAAATAAATAAATAAATAAATAAATAAATAAATAAATAAATAAATAAATAAATAAATAAATAAATAAATAAATATTTGGTGGCATGCCAGCCATGAGCTAATTTTTTGCCCTTCCATAGAGCCAGGGGTGGCTGTTTTCGCCCTCATCAAGCTTCAGGAAAGCCTTCGGAGGCTGAGGAGACTGAAAAAATGCACCAACGGGCCAACCGGAAGTTTAGAAATGATCCGTTTCCAGTTTCCAGAGGGCCTCCAGGGGGCCAGGAAAGCCGTTTTCGCCCTTGCCAGTCTTCAGGAAAGCCTCTGGAGCCTGGGGTGGGGTTGCACATACATGCACACGGTTGGGTCACGTGCATGCGCAGGTGGGCGGAAAAGGATTGAGTGGGCACGCGCGCAATAGCGCCCGTGCTAATTTGACACACCATTAGAAAAAGGTTCGCCATCACTGCTCTAGAGAAACATTACTTTTATGAAAATTAACTTTGCCCCAATATTTAAGATTTAAAGTCTGCCATCCATTGAAATTCAAAGAGACCTCCTGTTATATTATACTCACATTAGAGTGGTTATCTGTAAGAGGTTGCATGGGATAGGAATCCAAAGACAGTTAAAATATTACAAATATATTACCAATTTTTATATTTTTAATACATTAATATTTTGTTAGTGTGAGTGCATCTCTTAACAAATTTTTATCTTGCAATATTTTACTTAGAATCTTAAGTTGAGAATGATTCATAGCTTAGAAGAGATAGTAACGCTCACTTTGGTGGTTCTTTTATAATTTCTATTAAATATACAAGATAACAATTACATTCCTGACTATTAATATCAACTTTATACCTGTGTTGTATATTGTATGCATACTAATGCTGTAATTAAAAATATAGGAGTGTTGAGCATGGTGCTTAATGAGGTTAGCATTCCTTTTCTGATCCTTTCATCTGCTTCTTGTTATTTTTTTTTAAATGTGTGATTTCATATGGAAGAGAACTTTTCAATAAACAGTATTGATATGACATGAGCAGGTGAATCCGTGCCGTTCTAGGTAACTTCTCTCCTTCCCTTTTTGTCTTCCAGTTTGAAAGGCATGACCCTGCAAATGGTCGAATCACGGAACGCCAATTTGGCAGCATGCTGCTGGCTTATAGCGGAGTACAATCCAAAAAGTTGACTGTGATGCTGAAACAACTCAAGAAGCATTTCCAGGATGGAGTGGTTAGTAACATTTTGCAGCAATATGATGGAAAAGCGCTGGAGAAGTTTATTAAAAAATAATTGTTTGCATCATAAATGTTCCTGACAGAACAATTAATCAGTTCTGAGAGACCGCCTCCTGCCGATTACCTCTCTCAGACCAATTAGATCGCACAGGTTAGGTCTCCTCCGGATCCCATCTGCCAGCCAATGTCGGCTGGCGACTCCCCGGGGGAGAGCCTTCTCGGTTGCAGCTCCGGCCCTCTGGAACGAGCTCCCTGTTGAGATCCGGACCCGGATAAATAAATAAATAATAAATAAATAAATAATAAATAAAAAATAAATAATAAATAAGTAATAAATAAGTAATAAATAATAAATAAATAAATAATAAATAAGTAATAAGTAATAAATAAATAATAAATAAGTAATAAATAAGTAATAAATAAGTAATAAATAAA